AGCTGAGATTCCAGCACATGACTCACGTTCCACCAATCGGATGCAACCTCAAGGGAATGGAAGCCAGAGATAAGCCTAAGAGGGAGGCAGCAGGGTCCAAGAGAATCATCCAAGGAATGCGACTCTGCTTGGTTCCTTGTGGGTGATGGTGGCGGAGCTTGGCCTTTAGAAGCTGCTAACTCCCAGGGAGAGCCAGATAGATGGTCTGGTATTATTTCTGACTATAAAGAGTGCTTTCAAGCCCAAGACTGAAAGTGTGGCTGCAGAACACTCTTTCATAAATCCTGTTCCTTCTTCAACTGGCAAAAGCATATTCTTTAGTTTACAACTAAAAATTGTGACCCATTCATGGAGACAAGTTTAGGAGCAGATGCTATTTCAGCAGTTTTGCTTTCAATACAATCATTGAAGGCCTTCATTCTAGCTTCGAAATTTCCACTATTTGTTGATAGCTGCTTATGTGTTCTATGCTTGCCTTCAGAAATTTCCTATTGATACTAACATTTATTTATACAAAACCAAGTAAAACTATATATATGTATAAACGCTAAATATAACTACATACACATATACAGCATATAATTATATATACTTATTTACAGATATACAAATAAAACTACATATACATACTATATACCCACTACATATATACTTACATGCATATATACATATCTGTATACTATATATAATTATAATAACAATATGTAATTATTAGTGTGTATACAATATTCTCATTTTATCCTCCAGTCATTTATCCTTTCAGTCATCATTTTGATGTCTTTAGTATTTTACACTGAATTCTAAGAGATCTATAACTTCTATTTAAATTCTCAGTCTCTCAATTGTGCCCTGCCTCCACTGTAACTATAAACTCAGAAATCCTGTTAATCTCTTAGGAATCTTTTCTAATGTCATATCGGTCCTCTTCCAAAATACCTATTTCATTTTCCCAGATGTATTCTGTGTCAGAGTTAGGGTAGGTTACACTGTTGTAATAGAAACATACCCTAAACCTCAGTGAATCAGGACAATAAGGTTTATTTCTCACTTCCTTACTCAGGGCAGGTAGAATAGGAAGGTTTGTCCCCATTTGGTAACCTCGGGATCTATTTTCACAATTTTCAAGTCAGAAAAGGGGACAAGTACTGATTCTTACAGCTTTGGTTCAGAAGTGACATACGTGGGGTGCCTGGGTGGCTCAGTGGGTTAAAGCCTCTGCCTTTGACTCGGGTCATGATTCCAGGGTCCTGGGATCGAGCCCCACATTGGGCTCTCTGCTCAGCAGGGAACCTGCTTTCCTCTCTCTCTCTGCCTGCCCCTCTGCCTAATTGTGATCTCTGTCTGTCAAATAAATAAATAAAATCTTTAAAAATAAAAAAATTTTTTAAAAATTTAAAAAAAAAGTGACATACGTCATGTTCATGCATATTCCACAATCCAACTAAGAACCATGAAGTTCTTCAACTTGAAGGAAGGCAGAAAAGTATAATCCTATTACATGTGTTGTAGGTAAAGGGACGACATATTTGGTGAACAGCGCTGATACTTACACACCACATAGTGTTCTTGTGAATCACGCTGGTAACAGGAATTACAGATGTTCTAAGTGGCTCTTAGGTTTTAACTAAATCTCACCGCACAAACGAGGGCTCCTTACTTGGATATACCTGATTTGTCATTCTTACCTGAACTGCCAATTTGAAATCCAGTATTTCCAAACTTTCTATGTGCTGATTCTACAGAGAAAGATCATTATCCACAACTGAGAGTTGAAATGGGTCTGTTAGAAAGTTCTCAAATTTTAAGCCTTTTGAAGGTCATAGTAAGATAAAAATTTGTCCCTTGGTGGCTAGCCTCAGGAATTTGCCTCTTCCAGTCTGGTCTCATTTAGGTGGTATGACCTTTTTTTTTTTTTTTTTTTTTTTTTTGGTGATGAGTAGTTTTTCCTCATTGATAGATTCTTTGGGTCATTTCTTTGGGAATTAGCCAAGGCATGGGGAAGTCAAATGTATATGTTCAAACCATTTCTTGAACTATGACATTTCCTAAATTGCTGATTTTGGATATGAGGGTAGCCATTAATCCAGCTAATCTGGACACAACCAGGGAGACATCTATTCTTTCCCTCATACTCTTTACCTCACCAAGCCCTGTCAGTTTTATATCCTAAGTATCTTGCAAAAGAAGAGAGCTCTGAGGGAAGACTATCAAAGTCAATTTATAATAATTTGGTATCCCCAGAGGAAATTACATGTAATAATAAATAAGCAAGATCTTGACAGCTAAGGATTTTGATGAGGTTGCTTTCAAGGCAAAACAAGTAACTTTTCTCACGCCTTTCAGCAAAGTCCTCAATGCTCTTGGTGAATAAGGAAAGAGGTTGGTGTACAACTTGCACAGTAAGTGCTCAAGAAATACCTGAATTTAATAAAGTCAAGAAACAGAAAAACTAAGTGAAAACAATCATGGGGGCTGCCACCAAGTGGAATAGGATATAGCCAGGCTGCTGTGGTCATAATGGCAATCAGTATTAGGAAAGCGCTGATTGACTGCACATTAATGAGGAATGCAGACTGCAGAAAACTAGAAAGAAGGTTCTGAAAAATAAACCCTGAAGATTTCCACACTGCCAATGTATAACAAAAATTTTCCACTGGTTTCTAGCACTATGGTAACTAAGAAAAAGTTGGAAGTGATACATTCAACAAGGACCTTTTTTGTATCTTAATGGCTTTTCATTGGTAGACCTTGAATTTCAGATACTGATTTAATATGTAGCCAAATACCTTGTTGAGGAAAGTATCTATTAAGATTAAGATGCATTAGCCTGTAGAAACTTGTGCATATCCTTCCTTGTAAATGGTTCACTGTGACTAAAAGCACAGTTTTTTATTCGTGAAGAAGAGACAGCCCTCTCCCTATAACAGCACCTATGTCTGTCATGCAAATGAAGGTGTCTTTTTAAAAATTATCCTTGCATTGAAGGTTCATGAGATTGGCTATAGTTTACTTTTTTAAAGATTTTATTTATTTCTCCCACTGAGCAGGGAGCCTGACGCAGGGCTCAATCTCAGGACCCTGAGATCAAGACCTGAACTGAAGGCAGATACTTGATGACTAAGCCACCCAGGCGCCCCTGGCTACAGTTCATTTTATAAATACACCAACAGTTGATTGAATGCTGGTTTCTCTTTGTAGATAGCAGTTTTAGGAATGCAAAAGTTTAAATGTGGAGTGAGCACATTCAACTAAAACCTCACAGTATACTTCCTTCTCAAACAGACTTTGAATTCCTTATTTAAAACTTATAAAGAGCTGGGGCGCCTGGGTGGCTCATTCGATTAAGCATCTGCCTTTGGCTCAGGTCAAGATCCCAGGCTCCTGGGATCAAGCCCCACATCAGTCTCCCTGCTCTGTTGGAAGTCAGCTTCTCCATCTCCCTGCTGCTCCCCTTGCTTGTTCTCTCTCTCTGTCTCTAACAAATAAATAAAATCTAAAAAAAAAAAAAAAAAAACCTTATAAAAAGCTAGGTAGGAAGCCATGTGGTTATAAAAGGACAACACAAAGGATGCTTGTGGTATTGGAAATTGTCTGTACTCTGATGAGGGTGATGCATACACAAACCTACAGAGGTGTGATAAAAAAGCACAGAACTCAATACATAAACACACACACACACACACAGGTATGAGTAGAACTGGGGAAACACAATAAGACCAATGGATTGTATCACTATCAATATCCTGCTTTTGATACTGCACTGTCATTCTACAATATATCACCATTGGAGAAACTGAATAAATGGTACAGGGGATCTCTCCATATTATTTCTTACAACTGCAGATAAATCTAAAAGGATCTCAAAAAGTAAACAAAACTACTTTTCTTAAAAAGTAGTGTTAAAGCCATTGAACTGTGAAGCCATTCCTCTGGTAATTTTCTTCCCTTGTAAGAATAATCTCCATAATTACAAACCTATTCCTAGAGCCAAACACAGAGCCCATAGTGTGGATGTCAGCTTATGAAGCATTTAGGTGAAGATTTAATCGAGTGAAATTCACATAAGAGAATGGAAGAAGAGGTATACATATTGCTAACAGAACAAATAGTCCTTTAAAAAAAACTGTATAAATCATTTGAGTTTCTTAAAACCACTCTCCTTTAATCTAAAACACCACTCATGGATGCAGTAACTTTCTTTTTATATTCACAACAAAAATTGTTGATCTAACTTTTAATTGTTTTGTTATTATAATAATCAGGCTTCAGACTATCCTTCTGAAAATAGAGTACTAAAAGGCCTACAAAGATACATTGTTCTCATACATAGCAACAATGTTAAATATAGCACCATTTTGAGGCTTTGCTAGCCCTTAGGTACATTTGTACTTGACAGTTCTCTCTACCACCAAACATAATAAAGTGCATTCACATGCCATATTCAATATAATTAATATAAAACACAAATACTGAGATGCAGTTGACCAATCAACATAATGTTTGTTTTAGACCTTTAAACAGTTATTAATTTTAATTTTTTTATTTTTTTGAATTTTATAGTGATTTTTGAAAGGAAAGGAAAATGGTTCTCGGTAATTTTGAGTCCTGAAGGCTTACATCCCCTACATACTGTGCACATAAACTGTAACGAATAGAATACTCCTGACCGACATTAGCGTGGTAAAACAGCATAACTCACTTTAAGAATGTGGAATAAGGGGCACCTGGGTGGCTCAGTTGGTTAAGCAACTACCTTCGGCTCAGGTCATGATCCTGGAGTACCAGGATCAAGTCCCACATCGGGCTCCCAGCTCCACAGGGAGTCTCTCATGCTCTCGTTCACTGTCTCTCTCTCTCAAATAAATAAATAAATAAGATCTTTAAAAAAAAGAAAAAAGAAAAAAAAGAATGTGGAATAAGGGAGTATGACAGGGGACTTAGTCTACCTAATTCCTTTCCCAAAGCTGCAGTGTTGGTCTAGAAGAAGGGGCAAAACTCACCTGAGCATGTGCGCAGCACTGAAGACCACATCAAACTCTGTGCTGTCCAATTCAGCGGCTTTCTTTGCCATCTCAGCTGCTTCTATGAGGCGAGCTTCTTCCAGAAGAAACTGACCTGCAAAGTATAAAACCAAGTGAGCTTCAACTTGGAAACTACTGCTCTAATCCTACAAAACAAATAAAGTCACTACAGAGAAAAATAGAGTGGTAAACGTGATCCGAAGCTAAAATTTATATGTGCTGCTCATCTACATCTCGTTACTTGGTCCTGTTTTCTATGCCATTACCTTCTTTGCAGGACATCCCAATGCATCTGTCTGGTATATTCACAAAGTTTTTTTTTTTTTTTTTTTCCCTTAAAAAAAAAAATCCTGTATAGACTATTGAACAAAGAAATAAAATGGATACAGCTGAAGATATATTACAATTAAGAGTTGAATTGATTTTTATTATTGGTCATTTAAAACAGCTTCTGTCTCTGATCCATATGTACAGACAGGGCTATCTCTATTGAGATGTATAAACTTCTTATACCTAAGCAGCACTAAAATTATTGGAAGAACATATAAAGGTCCACAGAACATTTACTTACTCTTAATTAGACTGACTAACAAACATGGAGCAAATATTAACACGTTCACATTTTTGAGATAGCGTGAAGGTCAGCTTTGCAAGGTTAGAATTATTCCACACAGAGCCATACTACTCTTTGAAACTATACCTCAAGAACTGGTATATAGTGTTATCCCCAAAACCCATAAAGACAAAAAAAAAAAAAAAAAAAAAAAAAAAGAATTTGGTCCAGGTTTTGGGGTGCCAGGGTGGCTCAGTGGGTTAAGGCTCTGCCTTCACCTCAGGTCATGATCTCGGGGTCCTGGGATCGAGCCCCCGTATCGGGCTCTCTGCTCAGCAGGGAACCTGCTTCCCTCTCTCTGTCTGCCTGCCTCTCTGCCTATTTGTAATTTCTCTCTCTATATCAAATAAATAAATAAAATCTTAAAAAAAAAAAGAACAGGCTGTTTTTCCTCTTTGTTTTATAGGTGGGGATTTAGTAACAGCAAAAGTAATGATGCTAAGCCCTTTCTAAAAAAGATATTCAAATGAAAACTAAATCAGTGCATAAAAGAGAGATGCTGAAATTATTCACGTAACTTTTGGGCTTGCTGAGTTGTGGGCTAATGATTATTTCTTTTTGCTTTGGGTTTCCTGTTTGCTTAAAGTTCAAGATTTTAGCAATATGAGAAAAAGTTATAAAAATGATTTGCAAGCCCTGAGCTACACAGGGAAAAACACATTTAGAAATGGTAAATGGTGAATCCTCCCTGATGGTGGTGGTTTGAAGGAGCCCATTATTTACTGCTTATCTAATACATATTACAAATTGTCTTCTAAACCAAAGGACTAGTCCTTAAAACACAAGAGGCTATTTTCTGTTTTAAGAATTTATAATAAGCCACAGATTCTGCTCATATATAAACGTCAACTGCAAAGAAATGGTGTGTAACGATAAGCCGACTTATTAAAATGAGGTGACAGACTTTTAAGACCAGGACAACTTAGCTATTTCTACAAAAAGTTGTACATCACTTTCTTAGTCTATCCCCTAACATTCTGTGCCTTTCTCAGGTCTCAAACATAATTGTTAGGTCAGAAAATTATTAAGAACACTGATTTGTAAATACAGTTGACCCTCGAACAACACAGATTTGAACTGTATGGACCCATTTACATGTAGGGTCCCCCCCCCATAAATAGAGTACAGTACTATAAATGTATTTTCCCTTCCTTAATGATTTTCTCAACATTTTTTCTATAGCTTACTTTATTCTAAGAATACAGCATGGTAACACATAGATATGTGTTAACAGTCTGTTATCAGGAAGGTTTCTAGTCAACAGTAGGCTATTAGTAGTTAAATTTGGGGGGTGTCAAAATTATATACAGATTTTTAACTGTGTGGGGATCGTGCTCCTAACCCTCATGCTGCTCAAGGGCCAACTGTGGTTTCATTTATAAACAAGAAAACACATTACTTATGAAACTCGTGTGCACATTAACTATAAATATATTGATAGGAGATTGAGCTGAAAGTAATGCTGTTTAAAGACAGTAAAACAAGAATTAAACACTCTATGGCATAATGCAAAATAATATCTCATCATATAGATCTTAGTAAAGGATACCAGACTAAATCTATTCTTCAGTTAATTACTCTGATTACAGGTTTTAAAAATTAAAACATAATATTAATTGCTACCTACCTTCAAAGAATAATGTCTACCTAAGTAAAAGCATTAAAAGGTATGTTAATTAATTATGTGATATTTAAACAAAAGATAATGTAGGAGTTTATTGACAGTTACTTTTCCTTTCCAGACAGCTATTAACTCTGAAATGTTCTGTATTAACAGTAGGAAAATGCAACAATTAACTGAATAAAGAATAATGAAGGTTATTTAGCAAAATTCATTACTCCAGAGTATACAGGGTAAAGAAGACAGACTAGCTCTGGTAAAAAAAGAAAGAGAAAACAGGGACATGGTATCTGTACTGTCCACATAGAAACAGAGGACCATGACAAGAAGCTTCTGTGTTGAAGATAATGAGGCTCAATGGCCTAAAAGGTCAGTTTATGTGCAATGTCCCAAGGGCAAAGCCTTTCAAGCCTCATGGATGCCAAACCCATCATTAATGTGCAACAACATCAACAACAACGGATAATAACATTAACCAGTTGTATAAAATTGAATATACAATTTTTATCATAATTTCCAAAACTTTAAGCTTTAAGTCAGCTTTATTGTCCAAAATGCAATTTATAGACAGTTTACAAGGTCCCTAAACCACATGAAACCTGTAATTTTTACAAAACAGTAACAGAAAAAATCCCCATATGATCATTTTTAACAGAATTCATTCATCATATTAACATTCAGAAAAACAATATCACAACATATTAGTTAGGTATTTGCATAATTCCCCCCATTCTGTTCTCGGCAGGCCATAGATCTCAATATTCCAGCATTAGTGTTCTGCTATGATAAAGACATAAAATATTATGCAGTGTGGACCGTTTGGTGTCTTTTTTTTTTTTTCCACTAAACTTGAAAATGTGAACCAAAGTTGAAAGTGAATTATTATTCTGCTATGTTATATAATGATTGTTTGTTTGAAATATAGCCCAGAATTGATGGAAAACGGAGCGATAAGCATTTCAAATACAGAGAACCAACATAAATAGGGAAACAAAGACACACTAGGTTTCTTCTTAATAATGATCCAAAGAGCCACTCATGATATATTATTGGGGGAATACTGAGAAACAAAATCTGCCCTTACTTCTTCTGAAAGACTTTGCCTGAAGTCACTTTTCTACCAGCGCCATCTATTACTGTTCCCACCAGACACTGCCTCTCTTAATGTAACCTGCTGTTTCACATCCTTATTTATCCTCAACTCTCAGGCTCTAAGGCTTCTCTTGTCCCATCCCAATCACCAGTCTGTCTTGCCTGCCTAACTGGGCATCTTTTGTTTTTAAGCTCTAAAACATTTCCTTCCTGGTCAATCTTTCTCTGACTGCTTCCCAACAGTATTAGAATTGCTTATGATTAGTTCACTGCAATATAATTTACCATCTAGACCAGAGCACTTAAAAGAATAAAAGGGAATGGTATTATTCATGAGACAGGAATAAAGGGGTATAAAGCAGAATTGCCTCAGTATGGCCTTCCGACTTCAAGCATATGGGACAGGATGTGGGTGTCAATCCTCTCATTTTTTTTTTTAAGATTTTATTTATTTATTTGACAAAGAGAGATCACAAGTAGGCAGAGAGGCAGGGTGGGGGTGGGGGGGGGGAAGCAGGCTCCCCGCTGAGCAGAGAGCCTGATGCGGGGCTCTATCCCAGGACCCTGAGATCATGACCCAAGCCAAAGGCAGAGGCTTTAACCCACTGAGCCACCCAGGTGCCCCAATCCTCTCATCTTTATCACTACTGGATAGTAAATCATTTTATACAGTGTCTTTGAATGACTGTTGGCTGAAAGCGATCAATATTAACAAGAGAGACTCAGGTGTTTTTTACTGAAGAATGTGCACATCTATGGAAAGCCCACCAAGTCGGAGCCACATGCCAAGGCTCAGTGGGTTGGAGCAGCTACTTGGCCTTTGGTGGTGAACGGAACTACAAGGAGGAGCCAGGGAAGTATGGGGAGTGGAAGGGAAAGCAGGCACTTGAAGGAGCCCATCTACAGTGGTGGATTCTGCAAGGTGTGAAAGGTTACATTTTTCAGTGGCTCATAGCCTTAGTGCACAACAGAATCATCTGGAAAGTCCAACAGAACAGAGCTAGGCCCCAACCCCAGAGTTTCAAATTCAGTGGGTTTGGGGTAGAGCCCATGACTTTTTTTTTTTTTTTTTTTTAAGATAAGTGTACTCTTCAATCCCCATCACCCGCGCCCCCTCAACCACCCCTTTCTGGTAAACATCAGTTTGTTCTCTGTAGTTAAGAGTCTGTTTCTTGGTTTGTCTTTTTCCTTTGCTTGTTTGTTTTGTTTTTTAAATTCTACATGTGAATGAAATCATATTTTTCCTTCTCTGACTCACTTTGCTTAGAATTATTCTCTCTAGCTCTAACCATGTTGTTGCAAATGGCAAGATTTCATTTTTTATGGCAGAATATTATATATATAATGTATAAATATATATATAAATATATAAATAATACACACACACACACACACACACACACACACATATATATATACATACATAAAATATGCCACCTCTTCTTTATCTATTCATCTATCAATGGACACTGGGGCTGCTTCCACAGTTTGGCTATTATAAATAATGTTGCAATAAACACAGGAGCATATCCATCCTTTTGAATTAGTGTTCTCATATTCTTTGGGGAAATACCAACTAGTGTGATTACTGTATCATAGGGTAGTTCTATTTTTAACTTTCTGAGGAACCTCCATGCCGTTTACAACAGGACTGCATCAGTTTGCATTCCCACCAACAGGGCATGCAGGCTCCATTTTCTCCACATTCTCGCCAACACATGTTGTTTCTTGGGTTGCTGATTTTAGCCACTCTGACAGATGTGAGGTG